AAGTCCATGCACCCCAGCACAGAGAGCCTTCCACAACCTGGTTTCCACCAGGCGGCCTGTCATCCAGCCTAAGAGGCCAAATGCTCTGCCTTCACTCTCTGCCTGGGGCCACTCGCACCACTCCCCCCTCCTCTGTGCCCCTGCTCCAGCGTCCATCCACAGCCCATCCCCCAGGACCTCCTTGGTGGTGACATCTTTCAGGATGTAAATCCTCCCTTCCAGCATTGTTCCACCCTAGACTCCAGCCACAGCCCACCCCTTGCCAACCCCAAATAACCCACTAGCTCTCACACCTCCCAGCCCCCGCTCATGCTGCTTCTGGTGCTTCCAACACCCTTCCCCTCCTGCCGACCCGGCAAACTCCTACTCATGGCTCAGAACACCTACTTCAGGGCTGGGCATGGTGGCTCACGCCTGTCATCCCTATACTTTGGGAGGCCGAGGTAGGTGGATCACCTGAGGTCAGAAGTTTGAGACCAGCCTGACCAATGTGGTTAAATCTCATCTCTACTTAAAAAAAAAAAAAAAATAGCCAGGTGTGGTGGCGTGCACCTGTAATCTCAGCTATTCGAGAGACTGAGGTGGGAGAATTGCTTGAACCGGGAGGTAGAGGTTGCAGTGAGCTGAGATCACGCCACTGCACTCCAGCCTGGGAGACAGAGCAAGACTCCGTCTCAAACAAACAAACAAACAAACAAACAAAAAAAACACCTGCTTCGGAAAAGCCTTCCCAGGCAAACTGAGTCCCTCCCTCCACAGCGTTCTGTGATCTTTCTATCTTCCTTCCACCTTTGGCTTTCCTCCTCCTTCCAAATGTCTGGGGTCTCTAGGTCCCTGGCTGCAGAATGGGGGAGTCCAGGGGGCTGACAGGGCAGCTGGGGGTGGAGGTGCGGTTCGCAGAAAGCTTCTGAGGGGGCCCTCCAGCCTTGCAGAGACCACGGGCGTTTCAGGGTAAGAGAAAAGACTAGACAACGAAGCTCCTGCAATGAGCTGCAGGCTTCCCTGGCGCCAGGTCACAACTGGACAGCCCGTTCATCCAGATGCGACATGGTCTGACATACTTTGAAAGGGTCACTCCTGCTGTGTCGAGGATGGACTGGGGATGTGGGGGACAAAGGCAGCCACAGCAGGGGGATGGCGGTGGGGCTGGAGGAGTGGAGACTAAGAAGGAGCCTGGTGGCAGCGACACCTTAAGAGAACTCTGAGAGAGGAGTGAAGGTGAAGGGCCGCATTCGTGAGGCTGCCCCGGGTTCCATTCCCTGAGCCACCAAACTCAGGAAAGAGAGAAGATTTGGAATTAAGAAAATAAAAGATGCAGTTACGACAGTGCGATCTCGTAGACTGTCCCCGCTAGAACCTGACACTCTACATCAAAGGATACACAATGAACATAAGGAAGGCGTGCTGGCCCTAGGCGCTGGTCACCCTGGGTAGCAGCATCTCCAGAATCCACACCATAGTCGACCCCCCTTCTCCAGACGAGCAACTGACGCTCAAAGCAGGGAATTCCCTCGTCCAAGGTCACGGAGTAAAAGATGGAGCGGGGATACGACCCCAGTGCAGGGCTGGGCTCTTGGCCGCTCCAGGATGCTGGCCAGTCACTGGGGGACACGCGGGACGCCTCTGGGTTCCCCCACCGCACCCCCTAGGGTGAGGTTAGCTTAGCACCGGGCCATTCCGCCTAAAGAGAAACTGAGGCTCGGAGCGGGGTGGGCGGCCGCCTGTCCAAGGCCACAGAGCGGGAGAGAGGCGTCCCCCGCGGCGGCTGGAGACCCCGAAACGGACAAGCAGAACCGGGAGATGGAGGGGGCACAAACTTCAGGCCCGGTGGGAAGTGAAGGGCGCTGCAGCGGCGGAGGGCCTCCGAGGCGGGGAAGGGAGAGAAGCCGGGGACAGCACCGCAAGGTCACGGCCGGGACCCGGCACCGCCGGCCGACAACGAGGGG